TCGTCTTCTTTACGCCTAAGTGGCCTGACCATGATCCTCCATGCACCAAACTAAGCAAATCCTGACGATACGCCTGAGGTACGACTACCTGGTCAAACTCTGCTCCTTGCCTATCTAGATATTTTCGATAGAGTATGCCGCTCCTCTCTTGGAATCTCACATTTCGTTTGGCGATTCCCTCTTTCGAGCTGTCCTGAAATTGCTTAAGCGTCGGGTCCCCCTTTTGTTCGGTTATTAATGAAGCGGGGCTCACCTGCAGCAGCCGACTGAAATTATCCGAAGTTGGCATGACACACAACTCTTGTATTTCCTAGTACCTGGAATGTGTCACCCTCTGTGCTATCCTCTGTACTACCAGGAATCGGCTTGAAAGCAACGGCATTTTCTATTTACTCGGTCAACGAGGCGTAATTGACCCCTTCCAATTCGGGAGGAAGTTCATCGTCGCCTTTAGGAATGGTTGCCTCCGCGACTACGGCTTCTGCAGCCTGTTCTCGCACAATTCGATTTGTTACCGTGGTGTCCAACTCGCAACCAGGCCCGTTGTCGATTTGAAGCCTGTTTGCCTCAGTGAATGTTGCTCTCGACGCCAGCGCACGTGCCTTCGATCTAGTCAGTGCCTGCACTATGCCTTCTCCCAACCTTAGACCTTTCTCCTTCAGCATTTGATCTGACTTATTTGAAAATAAGTAAGGATACTGAGGGGGTAGATATGGCGATACCGCGGCTTCCGTTTCCAACGTACCAAATGCGCCTTTAAGGACAACTTTAGCTACGGGAAGGCACTGACTGTTTGCTTCTACGGCTTGTCTAATCCAGGCACAGTCTCCTGAATACTGTCCAGACTGAACAAAGGACGGATGAACTACGTCCATAGTGGCTGCGGAGTCTTTAAGAACCCGACACTGCTTGCCGTTCACGGTAAGGTCGTACATGTAGGGCTCTAACAACTTCATGTTCTCGTCGGCTTCATTTATAGATAAAAAGGCCACCTTTTCTTTCGGGCTATGTTTCGCGAAATGCCCTGTTTCGTGGCAATTGAAACAAGCCGCCGGTTTTTTCGCCTCAAATTTCCTTTTGCTTTCCTCTGCCGACGCCCCAAGGTTAGATGCCTTGTTTTCCTCACCCTTTTGTGCGAGACTTGTCGGTTGTTTTCTAAGCGGCGCCTTATTCGGTAGTAGGAATTTTTTCCTTTTAGGCTCGCTGTTTGCCCCGAGGGCGCGGCGCGTAACGAATTCTTCAGCGAGCTCTGCGGCTTTCGTTACGGTGTTCACGTCCGGTCTATCCTGCACCCAGAACCTCACCTTTTCTGGTAACCTTTGATAGAATTGTTCCAGACCGATACACTCGAGCACCTTGTCATGATTCCCATACGCCTTTGCCTCTTTGAGCCACTCCCCCATGTTGGCCATTAACTTGTAAGCAAACTCCGGGTATGAATCATTGTTCTCTTTTACGGCATTGCGAAATTTTTGTCTGAAACCTTCCGCTGACAACCTGTATTTCTTGAGAAGGCTCGACTTTACTTCACTGTACTCGTCAGCCTCCTGTTTCGTGAGCGCGCGATTACTTCTGAGGCCTCCCCCGAAAGTAGGGACAACAAGCGTTGAGGCCATGTATCCTGGCTGAAACCTTGCCTTTCACAAGTTCTCTCAAAGTTGACGAGGAACAGCCCAATGTCCTCCCCTAGCTTGTACGATCTCATTAGGTCCGTCATTTTGAACCTGACCCGTTCTGCGGTACCGGATGCCTCGCTGCCTCTTGCTTTACTATTATGGCTAATCTCTAGCTCGAGGCGCTTCATTTCAAGCTCGTGCTTTCGCATCTTATCTGCCTCGGCTTCTGCCGCTTTCCTTTCGGCCTCCGCCGCCTTTCCTTCGGCCTCGGCCGCGGCCGCCTTTCTTTCGGCCTCGGCCGCGGCCGCCTTTCTTTCGGCCTCTGCCGCTTGCCTCTCCTGAATCTCCTCGACACATTCTGACAGCTCGTCATCCTCCGCGCCCAATGCGAGAATCGCCTCTATCAGCTCTGGCTTTCTTTGAGAGTCCGACACCTCCAGATTCAACTCCCTTGCATGTAGCAACAACATGGACTTTCGCAGGGATTTCAGATTCATGGCTGCTTCCAGTACCGCTGTCTCTGTTCCACAAAGATTCCTGTCCTGCAACTAATTAACCTTGACGGCAACGACAGCTCTAGATACCTGCCTTGCCTCAAGTTTTCCGTTAACTTAGTCTACAAATAAAGCTTCAAAAGCTCTTACACGGAATCCTGCCCTGTCACTGTTAACCTTGACGCCACTGACAGAAAGAGCTTAACCAAGCTATCACACAATTTCTGCCTGACGCAAGTTACCTGTTAACCCAATGACCAAGACAGCCCCTCTCTACCAGCTTTTACTTAACACATAGAGTAAATGCCTGGTAAAATTTAACAGAGAAAGCCGGCACTCACCCAGTTCGCAGTCATATCTCCGGCGTCGTGCCTCTCAGAAGTGCCGTTCGATTCCCTCTGGAAGTCGATGAGCTCGTGTCATCCTTCTCCTGTCGTCCCGTTGTTGAACTTCGGGCTCACTCCGTCCAGTGGTCGCTTTCGGGGTTATCGGCATCCCGCCGCTGCCATCCAGTTGTTGGGACTCCGGGTCCTGCCGGTCTCGTTTTCGGTAGCTGGCCCCGTCGCAGGATCCATCGTCCAACAATTCAGCGAGAAGAAGCGCCCAAACGAACGACAGAGATTTATTTACAGGTGGAGAAGTGATCAACTGATCCAAAGAGAGAAGAGAGAGAGATACAAAACGTCTTCGGCATTTTATAGCGCCGCGTTGCCGACACTGGGCGCACTGTCCGCATCGTCTGCCAATACGGTGTCCCCGGCACCTCGGCCACGAGAGAGGGGGAAACACACCTCACAACACATGGAGTGGCACAACCTAACACGATGTCCATATATGGTCACGGCGCCCTAAAAAATGCCCAAACATGGTCACGAACGCACAGCAGATTCCGGAGTTCTCCCGGCGAGAGGAGGAGCCTGAATGGGGAGGGGTGGGGGGTGGACGACACAGTCGGTCAAGAACCGGTTCTCCCCCAAACCCCCAAACTCCTCTTGCTTGGCTCCCTAGGGCCGGTCGTAACAACAGCGAATAGAGACACCGCGCTGAGTTTTATTAACGAAAGGTCCCCGCTTTTCGAGGGCTGCCATAGCCACGTTTCCACGCTAGTTTTAACGCGATATCGTTTTAACGCGATAGTGTTAGAGAGCTCGTGACACGGAAATTCCGCCGTAAGTGTCGGCAGTGTTGGTTGTGAGCGAAAAATCGTCCGTGAGTGAAAAAGCTCGTTACAGAGATCGCCGCAGGAGGCCACCGGTTGTCCATGCGTGTGCGCGCGATCACACTGAAAAAGCCACGCATTCAAAGAAAAAGTGGTCAAGCTCCCGAGGCGCGAGTGACGTAGTTTCTGTGCTCCTGCCACCGCTCCGTGCTTAGCTTTCATCGCTTTCGTTGGGACGAAAGTAGATAGAATACAATTGCAGCATGCAACCAATCTTTGTAACTCCACTCGCACTGGACGGATTCACAAAACTTTTGTGGCGTTGGATTCGTGAGACAATAAGCTCTTCTAGTGAATTCATTCCATGGTTACTTGAAAAAGTGTTTCAGGGCTCCTTGAGCGTAATTTGTTTGAGAGATGTCACGACGAAAACGAGCACCATCGACGATTTGAAGGCGCATTTGGGAGGCCTCAAACTACGTCGAAAAAAGACAGGATAGCGCAGCTATCACCGCTAAAAACAAACAAGAACTTTCAAACAGCTCCAAAAATAGACAACCATGTGCACCTAGTGAAAAACATATCCCTTTCTGGAGGCGTTGATCAAGCAAACAGCAAACGCTAGGTAATGTGCTGCCATCTGTGAGGCATTGTGGGATTTTTAATAGCCTCCAAGATGGCGAGAGTGTGGCGTGTATCGTTAAGGCCATGCGACTCTTGCTTTAGATCAAAAACTGGTAGGTACCATTTGCGCGCGCGCACGCTGGTACATTCTACTGTGTGCGTGTGTGTGTGTGGGTGGGTGTTTATGTAACAAAACATGTTGATAAGTATGCACTGATTGGTTGAGGGGCACGCTAAGGGCCGAATTCCGCTATCGCGTTCAACGCTTAAAGGCGAAGCTTAAGGGTCCCCCAATTTTTTTGGCGCTGGAGTTGCAGACTCTCGATTAGTTCATGCAGGTTGTAGTTTGACTCTACTGTGTTTACGCAGAGAAAAGACCTAACATCACCAAAAAAGACCATCTTGAGCCCCTAAGAACGACCAGCTTCACTGTTTTTCAAGCTTCACACGGCTAGTTGAAAATTTTGTTTGTCTTTTTGGTTATGGAGTGGGATGACGTCTAGCCTAAGCACGCACAATTCAAAATGGAAGAATGTACTTCCCGACCAAAACCTTAGTGCTTGAAAGCCGACTGTCTTGTTGATTTTCGCGAAGAAAGTGAATGCTTTGCAAGGTAAAGCATTTCAAGTAACACAACTGTCACACACAACTTGTTCTATGGATGTTCTACGCTCATAGATTGCGTTTTTATTGCGTTTAAAAAATTTAGGGCATTCGTTCATTTCTAAGAGAAAAAGGGCAGTTTGATATTGATGAAGTGTTTTACCGTTCGTATTTCTAATATTTAGAATAATTGATACATTACTTAAGTTATGGACACATGGGCATTTCTATGACGAAGCGCAATGTCAGGCAAAAAAGCTCGCTGAAGTCCTGGCCTACGGAAAGTACGACCAAAATTAGGCGAGACTGTGCAAGAAAGGCTAAAGAACGAACCACAAGAGATAGTATGGTGAGCGAAAAAAACGAAGTATATGCATTTGTGCCATCGTCCGAAATATCTAGCAGTGCTAAATAAGAAATCGTACTCATGTAGAAAGTTGTCTTTCGAACGGGTGATATTGAGACTTTTAAAATTCCTTTATATTGCATCTGTGGAACACCCAGGCATGAACGGTAAAAACTGTGGTCAGACACCCATTGAACCTCTTCTGAACGAACATGATCGCATCATTGGTGGAAGTGAGGCAATTCCAGGAAGCTGGCCCTGGCACGTTGGAATTTTCACGAAAGAAGTCTTCTCCAAGCATATATGTTCTGGTGCGCTGATCTCAGACACACACGTTGTCACGGCCGCTCATTGTCTCATGTAAGTACTCACGTCTGACGTTGTTGCTATAAGAAATGAAAAATAAAGACTGATCTACTTTATCTCAATCCAGCTTGTAAGCGAATGCTTAGTCTGTTCCATTTCGCGAAGTGCACGAATTCGCATTACCTTAATTTAGAAAACAAAGTCCATATTAATAATAAATCAGCTTCCTTGCTCCTTTTACGGGATATTCTCCAATAGACAAAAACATCTGTCTTTCGGCGAATGTTTTACTAGATTAAAGAGCCATAAAGAAATCACTGCAGCGTTAGACAATGGCGAATCTCTCTGACATTTATTGATAAGTAAGCAAAAGATGAAAAAAGTGTAGCAGTTGAACACCAAATCATCGCAGCGTATACTGCGCCTCCTCAAGTTTCTCTCCTGCGCAACGCCGCATTGAGATTCAGCGTCAACGCTGCCGCTATTGTAAGCGTTAGCGCCCACTGCTTCGCATCTACACATGGTTGCCTTTAGTGGGCAATGGTGTAATTCTTTTCGTAATGACTCTGTCGTCATTTATTTTCGTCGATTTTATTTATTCAGGGCCTCTGTCTGTCACCTTTGAAATGGCAATGCGTGTCACATAGTATTTTGGGCGAAGATATGTCAATCATATCTGGTATTCTGTGTGAACATATGTTGCAGGAGAAAAACATCCAAAATGTTACTTGTTGTTTTGGGTGCCCATGATCAAAATTACAATGAAGCTGATACAAGGACTGTGGAAGTGGCAGAAGTGTGCTTTCATAAAAGTTACAAAGCACCTCATGAGGTAAGTTAAGGCTGCATGTATAAAAAAAAGGAAGGGTAGCGTTCTTCATGTGGTGAAGGTGATTCATGTTTTTCATTTTTCTGTGGAGAACTGGAGGCATCTATTATTATAAGGGCAATAACTGATACAAATGGCATTATAACTATTAATTATTTGACAAAGAAGTGAAGCGTATTCACAAATAGGGCAGAAAATAAGTTGTTTCTAAAATAACAATAATAAAGAATGCTGCACGAACAAGTTCTCAATAGGTGGCAAATACAGCACTAACGAAAGGTTGATATGAAAACCAGCTTAATACGTATGTGATTCATCATTGCGCGACATTTAGCACCCCTAATACAAAGAGCATACGTCACTGGCTGCATATCTCGCCCTAGCGAATCGGAGATTTTTACGTGCTTTATGCTTCATAAAGTGCAACCTAAAGTGACATCTATTTGCACCAGCTTAATTCAACAATGTATTTTTTTTACCTGTTTTTTTCCCTCTAGAACCTTATAGCGTGCTATTAGAGTGTACACGAAGATTTCAAATAAATACTGGTAGTCTCTAGGCTTTACAACCGAGCTATTGCCGTCACTGGTGGTTTAGCTAAGCTAGCGCAAATTGTTACAGTTTAGTAGAGCTGAAAGTAGGGCTACTTCACCTACGCGTTATGATAATGATGGCATAGTTTTCTTGTTACGTCCAATGAAAGGCTTTCAAAACCCTTAGCGAGTGTGTATGGCTCTGCTGTTGTGATTACACGTGTACATTTCTGGCCTTCTTGGAGCTAGAATTGTATTGTTAAGCCCAGGACCTATATAACGGGACAGCAAAACATGGAACACACTCGACATGTTTCGACATGGTTTGAGCATAAAAAATCCTCGATAAAGGATCCAGTGTGTTCGCATGTCATTCAAAACGAACTTTTCTAACCGAGGTGGCCGACAAGATGAGTTTAAGAAAAAAATTTAGATATATTTTCAAGCGCCGGAGCACCATTTGAAGTTCAGAAAATGCGGTATAGCAAAAACGAATCGCTCTGAATTGACATTTTGCCGTATTTCTTCAACGTTTGCTTTTTCGCGTTTTAGTAGCATTGCGCTCTTATAATATACATTTTTTATAATAGCTAAGCTTTTTTTACTACCTAGCGCAAGGACAAACAAAGCAAATTGCCAGGCATTTTAGGGAATTTCTCTACAAAAAACTATTTCCTATCACATGCGTAACATCCCTTTATGAAACTTTCCGTAAACGTATCATCTCCTCAAATATTTGTTTTACTTGTGCGCGGCACATATACACCGAAAAAAATTCTGAACCTGGCAAAAAACTATTTTGGTCTATATTGATACGCCTCTAAAACCTGGAGTTTCCAAAAAATCATGACCAGGAAAGTACGCTCGATGTAGTAGTATAAATACTATATCGATATAAAGTTTTTAGAGGTATTTTTTTCCTTTCGTCAAGGGAAAGTCGCTAAAACTGCGTGCCACAACTGCGTTATTTTCATGAAGTAGAATGCTGGGCCAACACATATGAAAGTATACGGGTGCACGAGGTATAAATAAAGGCAGACTTGACAAGAAAGACGCTCAACTTACAACTGCACTTTCATAAAAAAAACTTTCATTGCACGAGAACATAGAGACGCGCAGGTGCAACCAACTATCACTGCAAGGTGTCACCCTCCCCCCCCCCCCCCCCTGACACACGCCCGCACACACACACACACACACACAAAATATATGTTTGGCTGTCAACTGCTAAAAAAAGACACTTCGTTTTCCCTTAGCGCTACCGAAGGAATACTGATACGCGTGTTTGCAATTACCCTAATCTTTCCTGCTTCCACGATTTCTCTGGTCAAACAGGGTTTTGATTTGCTCAGAATTCTGGTGCTGCCAAACTGCGGATTACACCCACAATCCCTCCAGTGCAATGACAAATGCGAGCCACATGTGAGAACCTTCGGGGACGTCGCATGTTCTCCGAGGGTATCATTGAAACATAAGCCCGTCTGGTTGATGTACACTTTTCCGCAGCTCAAAGGTATAACATACACAACCTGTGAAGTGCGCAGTACAAACAGCAGTGGCATAATTTTTAGTGAAACAGTTCTTGTTCACCCTTTCCTTTTCAAATTTCCCATCGTGATTGATTGATATGTGGGGTTTAACGTCCCAAAACCACCATCTGATTATGAGAGACGCCGTAGTGGAGGGCTCCGGAAATTTCGACCACCTGGGGTTCTTTAACGTGCACCCAAATCTGAGCACACGGGCCTACAACATTTCCGCCTCCATAATTTTTCATCGTGGGACACAGTTTTTCTAGTTTGCAGGGAGCTGTGAGAACAATGTGTACTCCGTACTTGCGCTTAATCTTCAACAAACTGTGTGGCATCTTGTGCACATAGGGCATGTCTACAATCATTTTTGTCGGCATTTTTTTCTGCCGTGTTGGCGGCACTCCGCCCCTTTAACTTTTTCAACATGGTACTGCCTACTGCCACAAGCAAGCTGTCCGGGTATCCCGGAGTGAATAGGCGTCTAACTTGATTCCGGAAACTGCGTTCCATTTTATGCGGACATAATTTCCTGAGTGATAAAGTAAGGCAGGAGTTAGCTATCGCCTTTTTTTGCTAGCTTTCTGTGGAAAGACTTAAAGAGTAACAGACCCTTTTTTGACCACGGCGAAAACTTCCAGCAAACGTGCCCAATTTGATTCAAATCAATGTTAAGATCTAAAAACTGAAAAGCCTCTTTGGCTGGTCGTTCATGGGTGATTGACAATAAACTTGTGCATTGTTTAAAACAATCCAAAATGTTGGTTACTACTGAAGTGGGTGAGCAGTTATTCTCTATGTTCATCATCACTCGAAAGTCGTCAACTTATCTGTAGACATTAACTACAGCTTGCCCCACGAGGTCATGTTGTATCTTCTGGTCAGGTTTTGCTAAGAACATTTCACAAAGCACAGGAGCCACATAGGACCCAATGCATAAGCCCTTTCTTTGGACAATTGTCAAATCATCAAATTTCAGCAATGTCGCACACAGGCACAACAGAATCACTCCATGAAATTTTCTACATTTTAGAGCATTGTTTAAAGAGGTTACTACCCCGAAAGAGTCAATGTCCCCCGTATAGCTAGAACACTTCATTGCGCTAGACAGAATAAAAAAAATCTTCAACATCAAATGAAAATTCATAATTAGTTCCACACATGCCTGACAACAGGTCTTCTACCAGTACGTCCGAATAATTCAACTTGAAGGGGCCATTACGAGCCAATAGATTCAGGTGTCGTTGCAAGTAGGAGCTAACCAGATGCTGCCAACATCCATTTTTCGTGACAATGGGTCTTAGGGGACACATGGCCTCATGAGTTTTGGCTGAAAAAAATAGTTTTACAACGTCACCCTTGCAACACTTCGCGGTTTTTGAGAAACTTTCCTGCCCCACTTCTGATTAGAGAACTAACGCTCTTCATTTGACCTTGGAAAGCGTTCCGTGGAATCGTTTGTTTTTTTTCTGTCAAGTGTGTCCTTCCTTTTACATAGTGCACTCATATATTGTCACATTACATCATTTTGCTCTAGTAGATCTAGACAGAAACCAACAGAGTTTGGTGAGTAAAAACAAAAAGATTCTACATTCGAAGCACATACTTTTCATCTTGTTTTGTTTGCAGTTTATTTTCAACAATATTTTGAGGGTCAATTTATTTATCAATCTTTCCCAACAATTGTGGTAAAGGACAATAGTACAGTTACAGCAATTTAACGTTTTCATACAATGGCAATGGTCGACACAACATACTGCAAGTCAGACTAAAAAGTGAAGAAGATGTAAACACAGGAAATAAACGCAGGTAAAAGGCAACTTGACAAGATTCCTTATCATAAAGCAGTTTGGCCACAGACACGTGTTAATATAAAAGAAAATATAAGCCAACTGACATGTAAAGTACACGGAAGCAACATGCAAGCAAGCAAAAGATAGGCGAATTTAGCAGCACATTTTAACTGCAGATGCAATGTAAAAAATTAGCAAACACTGAAAACTGAGGTATGCATACAGAAACAAAATAAGAAATAATAGAAATGAGCCGCACTATCTGTCACAAAAACAAAAACAATAAAGCGTAAAATTAGTACTCATAACCGAAACATAAGTCAAACTACAGCTCACGTTTTGCATGTACATATAGAAATCAAAATGCACTTCTAATCAAACCGAACGTGACATATGAAATTGAAGCTGATACTTTGTAAGCACAAAGAAGATAAACTAGACATTATTTGAACGCATTCAAACACGCTGTCAGAGGTTGTTAATTACATATTCGTTCTACTGCTTGTTTGTGAACGTATCAGCCATAATACCTCCGTTGTTTAGGTGATTCAAAAATTTAGTATGATATGCTTAAGACTTGTAAGACCATAATTCGTTCTCGACAACAGTATATCTCACGCGTCTTCTCCTTATGTTGTTGGGTGTTGCAGATGCTTCTATTTGGCATAGTGTGAGAAAATTGCTTTTACTCTTCAAGCCATGTTTGTATTTAGCAAAGAGATTGAACTCGTAGAGCTATTCAAAATGAAGTGAAAAAGGTTGATGTATGCGCATCGTATGGAACGTCTGCGATATGTCTTATTGCCTTCTTCAGCATTCTGATCAATTTTAGTTTGTTTTTGCGTGGTATTTCCCCAAACTAAGGAATATAGGGTACAGTTTTACTTGTGCGATTGAAAGAGGGCATTTTATTTCAGGCGTTTATGTTTTGCAGGATCCATATCTCGAAACTTTAAAAGTGCTCCACGTGCCTGCGCAAGGGTTTTGGCAACATTATCCACATGTGAATCCCAGTTTGTCTTCACTGGGACGCCTAGTATCTTAACGTGTTGTACAATCTCAATCTCCTTGTCACCGAGGTGTTAGTCGGCGCTAGTATATATTGTTTTATTAAATGCGAAGCATTTCTTAGCGAAACTTCGGCAACT